CGACGAGAGAGAGCACTTCTTCAGACCTCTTACGTGAATAAAGGTCAACAGATTCACTTCGTGGGAACTGGAATTTAAACAACAGTATACGTACCAACAATCATAATAGCTTTGGTCGTAATCTGTTATATAATGGCGTTTATAAACGCGTTTCACACAACTGGCACGACTTCGTTTATACGATGATTTCTTATGGCTAGTGCTATGAATAAATAAAATGATTATAAATGGATTAGAGATCGTTATAAATCAAGAGACCGAAGAATTAAAAAAATGTGAAGTGTGTGTAAAAAATTTTTTTTTAATAAAGAACGCTTTTAAAAACCAGCCAAGAGCGAGTCCGACTTGCGAACAAAGAGTTCCCTACCATTATCTATAAAAACGGCAAAAAATGTGTGTTGTATGGGAACCCCAGTTAAATATTTATTTATTCAGTTTTGTAGTTATAGCGGCAACAGAATAACGTCATCTGTAAAAATTTCAACTGGCAACTATCATGGTTCATGAAATACAGCCTGGTGACAGAAGAACAAACAGACAGCGAAGTCTTAGTAATAGGGTTCCCGTTTTACTCTTGGTGTACGGAATTCTAAAAACAATAAAAGTACTAAACTGCTAGCAGTTACAGTGTTACTTGAAACATTTTAGACTGTTAAAGGAATATCGTTTCGCAAATAAAGAATTGATTCAGATTTAATTTCACGCAAATTCGTCACGCCGAAATTAATTAAAATTAATTATTCATAAAAAACCAAAGCAAATCTAGCTAAGACTATGTAGATCAAGGACTTTTATTAGTTTTAAAACTTTAAGGGGTGTGTCAATACTTTTTCAAATAATCAAACAATCTTTTTAGATTTTTGATTTTTCTGTTTATAACAAATGATTGGAAATCATATTATGTCTGAAAGTTGTTCACAAACTCAGGTACAATATTATTACAAATTATTACTGGGCTACTGTTGTTTATTCTTTTTAAAAAAGGTCGTTGTATTTTCCATCGAGAAAGGCACCTACTCGAATAGTTTCAGATAAAGAAACGATACAGCTTCGCGCGCAATACTCTGACTCTTGACCTGGATTTGCGATTGTGGGATTGTATACAAAATGATTTATGTCAAAGTTATTGTATTTGCGAGAAAATAATTATTTATGACAATACGATAAAGTGATGTACCGGTATGTATTAACAATTTATTGTGTTGTATACAACTAACTACTTGGGTAGCGATATTGTGGTAAATAATAGAAATTAAATACTTTTTTAACAGCCCAGACAGCGCAGTTGTTTCATTTATAGCTACGGCACCGCATGTTGGTGGTTCAACACCTACATGGGACACGTATCTACCTGCTACTAATAGTCCTTTATTTGTAAGAACACTTTCAGCCACTGAAATAATACTCTCCAACATCCTAACTAATATGAGATAATATTATCTATGACTGGGGGTATAAAGAAAAAAGAAACAAAACAGTCTGAATAAATAATTATGATATTGATAAGCTTTGTTACAGCAAGTTTGTATAAGCAGCTAAGTTTGTATACAGCAATAAAATATTAATTGTCATCAGGTCAATAAAGCACCTATTTGAGATAAAAAATTTTGTTAAAAATAAAAATTTCATTTAATTCCATAATCTTTGTAACATCTTCTTGCCGAGTTTTCCCAGTAAGTTGTCATGGACACTTGTAGTGGGAATAACCCGCTACTTCCCTTGTGGATATTTAAGACTATAGATTAACTTACATACTATTTAAACAATATATTATAAAAACAAACATCGCGCGCCGTGTGTGTGTGTGTGTGTGTGTGTGTGTGTGTGTGTGTGTGTGTGTGTGTGTGTGTGTGTGTGTGTGTGTGTGTGTGTGTGTGTGTGTGTGTGTTTTGGGCATCAAGGGATTATTACCCCAGTGTAAACAGTATACAGTATAAATGTAAATATATAGATATAGTTAACTGATTCTACTTATAAGATTTTCAATGTCATTATAGTTAAGAGGGTGCAACCAATCACTTAGTGTTTTTTTGCAGTTATAAGATAGCATGGGGTATATTTTAAGTTTATTGTTCACTCTGTTAAAAATATAGGCGGACTGGCCAATATATTGCCTTCTAGCAAATGCAGTACGTATAAGGGAGGGTGCCACAATATTCTTCCTTCTTTTATGGGCAAATTTCTCATACGTTAGTGATTTTTGACAGTGAAGGATAATGTTGAGAACATACAGTTTTCTGACTGAGAGGAGACCGCTGATTTTATAAAGACTATCAGTAGGAAACCTACAGGGTTTAGAGTACATGACCTTTATAATAAATCTCTGCGCTCTCTCCAGGTCTAGAAAGTGACTTTTACTAGCACCACCCCAAATCGAGATACAGTAGGTGAGGATAGATTGCACCAGGGCTATGTAGATTTTGTTTTTATCTTTATTGGACATAACCTGACGTATAGATTTGAATACCCATGTGAGAAAAAATTTTGTTAGAAAACTAATTTACGAAAGTTTTCCCGTTATGCTGAATTTCCGAAAGCATTATATAAACAAAATTGTATAACTTTTGCCGGTTGAAGACGAAGCATAATACATAGCAGAACTTCTTGATTTATCAACAGTTTTTTATTCAAGTGATAGTGGCAACGTATCAAGTTTTGGGTTATCGTGCAATGTTCATAATTCGTAATAACTTCGTAACAATATCAGGATTAAATCTGACCGTTAAGTAAAAGTTAACTTGATTATTTTAGAATAACGAAGTCAACAGTCAACACATTATAATTTGTATACTGCAAGTTAATAACAATTTTGTAGCCGAAAAACTAATCAAATACGTCATTAGCAACATCAAAAGCACAGCACTAAACGGGGAACGCGTGTCCGATAATCCGTGGGCGTGTTGAGAGCTTGTGGTCTGTCGTATCACGAGCTCTTCTTTTCCCACGGCTTAACAAACCAGAGCCACACGTAGTTTAGAGAGTTGCTATCAGATTGGGCACAGTTTAAATCGCTTTTAATGTAAACAAGTATAAGGCAAAAAACGAAAAAGGAAAACATTTTTTGCTACAGTTTCGATTGCTCGTTTCATATCTTTTATAGGATATATGGACCCCCTTAGACATTAAATGCAGAGCATTATTATACGTATACAACGTTTCAAATAAGAAAATTTCTTTAAGTATACAGTCGACTTGGTAAAAATTGAATATATAATTAACCTTAATGTCTCTATTCCAAAACCAAGACTCAATCAAATAACGAAACGTCATAATATAATATCCGTCAAGTTTAGACAACAGAACGTTCCAAGAATATTCCGCAGCCTCACAGAAGACCGGCGCGAAGTGGTTATACTTTTGCGTTTGGTGTAACAAATGATGTATCCCAATTTTTAGCCAGCCCAAAAATGTTGTAGATGTCCATTAATCACTTAACAACTACATAATATGCAAATACAAAAACAGAAACACTTAGTATAGAAACATACTTTCGGAGAGCATTACAAAGTCGGGTAAAAAGGGAAAAGCAAGTGTGCAGCACCGATGCTCACGTCGTACGCTAAGAGTAGTTATGTACCAAGCTAGTACGCAACAGGCACACGACAATTTTGTTTATATTACGAGCTGAAATCTGGGTGAAGTTACTAAACGCGTCTTCGGCTAGATATGCTATAATGATATTATCATGCGATAAAAATCTAATGAAGAAAACGTGCCGAAATGGTTTTTATTTATAATTTACAAAAAATATGAACGCTTTATGTAAAGGAGACTTAGATATTTTTAAAAATTGGAAAATTAAAATTTACATAATAACAATGTATAAAGCATATGGTACAAATTTTAAAGTCTACTTTCTTAAAAGACAAAATAACAATGCCACGCAATAAAGCAAATCGAATACTTGAAATAGAAAATAGTCATGGGTAAACGATAAATTAGAAATTAACACAAGAATGCCTTGTTGACCGCAAACGATTTCATGTAGCAAACCATTGCGTTTCGAAAGTATGAATGTTTAACCGCGAAGATTGGAATAAAGACCTGACTGCCGCCTTCAGATTATAACCTCAAACGCTACCCACCGTTTTTACGCGTAATGCAGAAGCACGACAACATTTTCTGGCTATACCCCCTTCAAGCGCACATCGCGGAGTGGAATGAAACATGTAACTTTCAGCGCAATCACTTCAACACTGAACGCAGAACAATACGCGTAAACCGCACGTTAGCGATATAAGTACCGCGCCACGGGACACACGCGCTTATCAGTGAGCCCGCCCGTTCGCGGCGTCCGCTGCGTTGAGAACTGTACCCCCTGGTAAGTAAAGAGTGTAGAGCGCACTTAGCATACCAAATTGTCGCAAAAGCCGCTAACAAATTCAAGGGCGCGCGACGGGACGTAAGTAATTGACAGTTTTAGCGGTCGACGTCTCGTACTCGCGACCTTGTATGGATGGAACTTTAAGCCTTGCCCAGAAAGAAGCCGGTGTTCAAAAATTACCTTGCTGCAGTGACATCTTTCCTTGTGACGGAACATTAAAACTACAGCTTCGTAACAACAACCAGGTCTTTTTTTGTTACAGTCGAAAGACGTGTATTTACTTTATAATTCTTCCTAAAATTGATTGTTTTAAACAATACTAGTATAAAGTGAAATTTATTCAAATATTTCCAAAAATCAATGGTAGTAAAACAAAATGTGGGTGAGCTGCAATATTTCAGTATGAGAATAAATTTAATACGTTCGTAACTCGTCCTTTACAACGCATCACATCAACGGAAGCCGAAGTTAAACATAGTGAAAAATGATCGCCATAGGCGGCATGCTATGCTCTATAAATACTCTAATAGGCCTCTAAAATCACTTCGAATGACGCTTGCTATTAAAATCGAGCAGCTGTGTGTCTCGGGAGTGTTTTGTTCGTAGGTGGGAAAAAAAAATCTCCGACAAACCCAGCTGCACTTCGCGTGAAGAAATGCGATGCAATGCCATTACGATGCAAAACGCAACGATCCGCGCGCGCCAAGACCGAATAATAATAAAAGACCAGTTCTACTGCGACGATGTCGATCGTGAGGCGATTATGAAGAACAAGGAAGTAGTAAATATTAGCGGATTGTTAGTTTCAAATTAAATGCCCGCATATCCACACGGCTTTGGAGCGACGTCAATTCTGAAGTTTAAGAGAGTAAATAACAACGGAAAGAGGAGTAAAACTGTTAAGAGAACAATAAAGATTGTAGTTAAAAAAGAAACAACTCGAGTGTGAACGAAACGAAAGGAAAAATGTATTCTCATAACCGGCAAACTTCATTCATGTTTAGAAATGTTCGGACTAAAAATCCTCAAAGTGGCAACTGACCTTTCTTGGAACTAAACAGCGATTTGAGCTTCGATATCGTCCGTTTCTTCATTTTACAACGGAACAAGAGCACGGGACCACCAAACCGTTGTACACATCGGCCCACAACAGCCAGAAATACACTCAACACAACGTCCCAAGTTTTTCGAGCGCTCGTGTGGCTTTTGCTCCTTTTGCCGCTCTTATTTCCGTGCTACGAAAATAGGTCCAGCGTTACACTTGCCGGCGCTGGCGCATCACTCATATACGAGCTGCGATTCAAATTAGTTAGCTGTGCTAATTGAAATCAAAAAACACGGGATGGAGCGAGACACGTCCGCAACGAAACGGAAAGTTCGTATCACTGGCGGTTCGTTATCTACATCGACACATCGCTTATCAAACGTATCCGCGTGTCAGTCGGTAAAACGGCCAACGATAAAAGTCAAAACACGAGACGCCGGTGCGTGCGTTGAAACTGTTGAAACACTCATAAAAAAACTCGTGCGTCTCTATAAGACGGTTTGGATATTTAAAAGGAAAACTTCACAAGCACACCGGAGACATCCGCTTAGAGCGCTAAGGACGTTTGCGATTACACAATTCGATGGCCGTTAACGGTTAACCGGCGGGCTTGGCGAGTGCGTATCGGCGGGAACACGGCGGCGGCTATTCTTGCGCGTGCTGCGGACGCAACTGAGCACGCACGGGCGCAGCGCACACGGGGGATAAAGTACGCGGTCCACACGAGCGGGGCCCGCCACGAGTCGCTCTGAAACCCGCTTCCGCCGACCAAATCCCGCTTCCTACAAAGCGTGGCCGAGTGGAACGGAATGGATGCGGCCAGAGGAGGCCGCTTTAGCAGATTACACCGCCGAGGACGCGCAACGTGCCCGTTTCGAGCACCGAGCGCCACATTCAAGTGACGACCGGCACAATGGACCGCGCCTAAATCAGGGGTGCGAAGGGTATAGGCCAGGGGTCACCAATTACTACCGACCGAAGACAGTTTTCGAAAATTATATGACCGTCGGCGTCTTGGTCCGTATGGTTTTCAGCCAGCAAAGGCCTTTACATGGTTAGGTTTTTTTACTTTATTAAAAATGAAAGGGATAAACTTAAATATGTAAATATAGATAAAATATCAATTAAGAAATATAACTAAAGGATACCTGAATATTATATTTTTAATAATAAACAGGTATTATTAAAAAATAAGTTTTTTCAAATAATAATGTGAAAAATGACATTCTTAAGGTCCGTACAAAATATGTCGGCGTTCCGGATTCGGACCGCCATTTGGTGACCCCTGGCATAGACCCAGCAGGGGTGAGCAGGGACGAAGAGAAAAAAATCCCAAAGGAATTCACTGCATCAACAATTTTGGCGTCAATTGTAAAGAGGAGTTTCCCACGCGTCTTATTACTAATGATACATTTTTGTTGATAAGTATAGAGTTGAGATGTAACAACAATTCTTATAAATTTTAAAGTTTTTTATAGTGCTAATCTCTGCACTTAAGATTGCACATTAAAACATGTAGAAAAAGTACGAAAAGATTGTCGCCGCTGTGGGAATCGAACCCACGTCTTCGGCATTCGCGGCCTGACGCTCTAGCCACTGAGCTAAACGGCTGATAACCACAGCGACGAAAATTTTAACGCCTTCTTTCTACATTGTTATTTTTAGCATTTGAAGCAATGCTTGGCGCATCTATTGTTATATCCTTTCCAGCATACAAACAATTTCGAATATCATTTTACAACGATAATTCGAACGAGAGATGTCGCCATTGCTTTTCATAAATTTTAAAGTTTTTTATAGTGCTAATCTCTGCACTTAAGATTGCACATTAAAACAATCATTAACACAATCTTTTCGTACTTTTTCTACATGTTTTAATGAACAATTCTTATGTTAAATAATCGCCGAAAAATAAAATAACCCGGCTGGAGTTCGAACTATTACTTTAAAAAACCACAGTATTACGTTTGAACTAGATTTTTAATGTTACTCTTTAAAAGCGTAGTCAATTAAACAAATTTTAGTTCGCCTGCTTCAAAATATTAACCAAGAAGCTTTTATCACTTGCGAAGTAGGTACACTTTAAAAAGTTCGCATGCAGTTCTTTTGTTCGTATCATAAACAATTCAGTTTGATCGTATCATAAACAGACGAGCCAACAAAGACGACCTATTGCAAATAATACAAATATGTCATTTTCGAAACACTGTTAAATGGTTATATAAATAAGCGAGAGATAACTCACATACATACATGTAGAAAGAAACAATGGGAAATTATTGAAAGGTAATATATATTCAAATCAAATGTTTCATTCGACAACATGTGTGATGTTTAAGCCATAAACATCTTCGGATTCAAAAAGCTCGGTTTAAGTTCATATAACCTCCTTTATGTTAACTAATTATTTACCGTTTATGTTAACTAGTTGTTAACTATGTTTAAACTGGATACGTTTGTCCATCATATTAAACGAAAATCGTAATTTAGTATTATAACTTTAAAAATGGTTTTTCGAAGTATAACATGTAGTAAGTGCTTATTAACCATTGTTCGCTTTTAATGCCACTACGTTAGTTATGAGACGAAGAGAGAGGGAGAGATAATATTTCATCCTATTTTTACTGCAACATCAATGCGATGGCCCGCTACGAACCGCTGGTTCACACACGAGTGAGCGCACAAACACACCCACACTTTCGATCGGTCATCAGAAGCTACGGTGCCGATACACTTAACTGTTATTAATTCTGTTTTATTTTCCTTTATACTCTGTAATCAGATTTATGATTCATGCCAATCATGTAGACGAATGATGGACGATCAGAAGTTCGAATAAGTCCCAATACGTCGAACTATGGATGCTGCAAAGCGTTAAGAGTTAAAATCGTCACCGAAAGAAATAATTTCGAAAACGCTAGCTCACTTTATCGGTGACATTAGCCGGCCGTTCCTGTGAAATTAAATGTGGTCCACATTGCAGCTAAACCGAACGCAATGCAAAAAGAATTTTTAAAATCGGTTAATAAATGAAACAGTTTTTAGGTGACCAACAAAAAAAATATTTGAATTGACAATCTCCGCCTTTTTGAAGTCGATTGGTAAAGCTGATAGACGCGATCGACTATATCTAGAATACTATTAGATAAATAAGAGGAACATCGTGCTATGGTAAACTGATGCAATATCGATGTTGGTCCTATAAAAATATTTAAAAGCTAAATAGAGAAACGATATTTACTTTTAGAGCAAATCCGTCAATACAATCGCGTGATACACAGCAAGACTACGCTTCTTTGCATTAATGAAATGATTATTAAGGTAGTTAATGAGCAAAAAATTGAATAACAACCTACGAATTCCTTAACATCTCTGTTGACGTTCTGATAAAATAAATTATAATATAACGACTACAAAATAAATGTGAAAAAAGATTTTGAGTTTTTGTATAACTGTTTTAATTTAACATCTCAAACAGTTCCTTGAACCTTGTACAGATATGATAATTCTTGTGCACTTTATCACGTTACCTTCTTTTCCGTCCTAAGATAAAGTTGACTAAAATTAAACATAATAATATAAAATATACAACATAGAACGCCGATGGATCGATCATCGGTATTACGGAAGTGATTAAAATTATGTAACCAGTCAGGCATCGCAGCAAATGAAGTACATAGCAATGCACATGTGAGTTATCAACAAAGCGTCATTAGCCCCACAAGTGGACACACGGCCGTTTAGAATCGAAACAACGTAAATAAAACAAATTTAGATGCAGGTTGGGGGGATGCGTCTTATATTTTCCAAAAATAACAGCACCATCAAACAAATTGGATGTAAAAGAATGCACCTGATACTCCAAATGGATATGGAAGAAAATTAAACGGAAACATTTACCGTGAAACGAAGACCAACTTAACATATTATTTGGACTGCGTGAAAGAATTACGATGAAAAAATTATATTGATCTATGACGAATGAAAGAAGAGGTTATTGTTATTGCGTTAGTTTTAAGGCCTGATACAGTTAACGGATTAGCTAACGCACGATCTTGTTTCTATTCGGTTCGGGAGTAAGCTTTTCAAATCGAGTTTGAATCAAGAGCGAGTTCGAATCTAAAACAAAAACAAATTCGAATCGAGGATTTGGGGAGTAAGACTTGGGAGTAAGATTGATCAAGGGACAGACAAAACCAAAAACAAACGCGACAAATTTAGTAAATAAGTTAAAATTAAGTAGTATTCGCGTAAACGTGACGAAACAAAAATTAAACGAGATAAATTCAGTTAATAAGTAGTATTCGCGAAAACATGAGAAAACGGTATAAGCACATGTTTAGTCAATACAGATTTATCAGACATGATTATTATTTAACACACGCGTCTCAATTTTGAAATGACAACGAAAGTTACAAAAGAAAAATCATAACTTTTAAGGTCTATGATTTAAGCAATAATTGACTGAATCAAAATGGTAGTACTTACTCACAGTGTAAAATGTTCAACAATCCAACAACTGGACTCCGAATAAAATGGAAATAGTTCAAAGTGCTTTTTGTCCCAATCTTAACGTTGCTATCGTTAAGATTGGGACAAAAAGCAATAATGAGAAACGCAGTCACTACTATTTACGTAAAGTTATGCCTCATTATGATTTCGTAGTAACCGACTACCACCGTATATAGCGTATATACACCTTATATGTGCGTGCGCGGAATATTTATTTGCACGCATTTCGTATGATGGAAACTATGTAAACAATGTGACCTGGCGACAATACCAAACAAGTCTCTGTCAACTCAACACTGTCGCTCATTGTTTGAGACAAAAGCGCTGCTGCTTCTAAATGCAACCATAAAGTGACTAGAATGTTTCTATGATATTTTCTAAATTAATCGCATTAAAAATTACTAAGGAGATTTTAGAATAATACAACTAGATAGAGCTATTTTAATTTTTATACATATATTTTGAAAACAACAGCTTAAGTTTAAGTTTATGGAATTAGGAGAAAGTTCAGAGGCTGTTTGATTTAAAGCATTTCATTCGGAAATACAGTCTGAAAAGACTGAAAATTCTAAACTATCGTTCATAACTAATTTTCGATAAAGAACAGACCGACAGAACAGTAAATCTTTTGTATTTGAAATGAGATACGAAAAAATAAGAAAGGAAGAATTAGTCGTCAATGACAGTGGACTTACAGGAAACGCTTCATGCATGTCTTTTAAGTCCACTGTCCACTGATAAGTAAATCGATGATTAAAACTGTCTAATTATTCTCAAGACTGGAATTATATAAACATCGCAAACTTTCATTATAGTTTAAAATTTAAGATCGCTTTTACATCTTTCAAACCGTATAAAGACACCTTTATGCCATCGTCCCTTAATCTAACAGAATATACATTTACTTTTACGCGCGCTTTCTTTAATCGCGCTGACAGATTTTAAGAAAACGATGATATACACGATTGTTGTTTGTCGACAATGTCACGCGTGGTAAAATAAATGAGTACTTACTCGATATGCAGATATATAGCGGACTTTTGTAAGAACATCATCTTGTTTCACAACCAACGGACCGCGCCGACTCCAAATCAGGCAATGCTATCCAATATGCATTGTGCAACGGATGCCAAAATAAATATTGTGCTACTCGATCGCTCAACGCTTGACGTTGCAGACACATTTATGATGCTGTTCTTTCTTGAATAATGGTTTATAAATTAATATCAACAAGTTGCCATGCGTAAAGTAATAACAACATAACATTTTACAAGTTCATATATGCAAATTTCGCGAACTAAGCATTAGCATTTGTGCACTCTCACAAACGGCAATTAATTTGAATATAAGAAGGAACAAAATTCCAAATGTTTCGATTATGACTAGATTACAGATTATGTATGCCGTTTATGCGTGCATTTAGACACCCAGTGATGTCTTCCATAGCATCAATATCAAAAAACTTTAAAGATTTTAACAGAGCAATAAACTGCTACCCGTTAATAAAGTGAAATAAACAACGAAGGCAACAGGTGTCCGGATTC